ATTATAGAAAATTAGTTCCACCAAGTGTGTTAAAATACTAAAAAATATCCATCAATATTCCAATGAAATAGGGATTTAGTTAAATTTTCTCCACCCTAAGGCCATTTTTCACCCCACCCCAAAACTACACTATGCCCCTGATAAGCTTACCTGTTCCACAACGACTCCCTGTATACCCAGGTAGACAAGTACAGGTGTACTCATTGGTTCCATCCACGCAGAAACCTTCATTCATACACGGATTGCTTGCACACTCATCAACATCTGTTTTCAAACGAAGAAAAAATAAACAAAATATATTTGAGTAAAGAATAATTTATAGACATACATGCCACAAACTTGTATCAATTGGATTTGAAACATAATAAACCAACAATAAGAATAATTGTTGATCCTATAAAAATATAAAATATGGACTGAATGTGAATAACCACAAAAAAAATGTATTTTGTATTTAACGCGCAAATATTTTAACAGAAATGCCAGCACCTGCACGTTTTACACAATTTTGAGGTTTAGTGCAATATACAAACAAAACAGAACAGAATATGTACGACACGTGCATTGTTAGATCTCTCATTTCCTGTCATTTTGTTAACATAACCATTTATAAGTCAATACAGATGGTTACTGATTCCATGCTAATGAATGTATTCCTTTATTAATAAAGGAATGGTTATAATTTCATGAATTATTGATTCTTACAAATTGAAATTTAATTGATTGTTACCTAGACCACAAGGACAATTGATGTTCTGACAATTGAATACCTAGGATACAGACTGGTTTCTATCTATATTCAAGAATTCCTGGCTGAATTTTACAAGAATTAGCAATCTTTACCAACTTAGATAAAGTAATTAAATATATATGTAAGATATAAACAAGTAGTATTCATAGTTAAAGCAAATACTCTAAAAAAAAAAAAGTTAAAGCATATCATGAAACAACTGATGTTATAATACTATACAATACAATTGATGACAAACATCATTCTTTCTAAAAGAAACAAAGATAGATAATGAAACAAATATAGATAAAACCCATGTATCCACCACATAAGGCAATATATTTTAAATTAATAATATTACCAAAAATACATGACAAATTGTATAAAGCTGTTTATAAATTAAGATTTTTTGAACAGTACCTTCAATATACCTTACTACTACAGTTTACAACTCATGAATTCCTTATTTATTACTGTAGTTACAAGATAAACCTTTAAACCAACAAGTAAACCATTCTAAATAAAAAAAGTTGATACAATCAAAAGTAATCAAAAGTATAATATATAAACTCTCTCAATGAATGAGCCAATCCAAAGCCCTCAAAAATTGAGAAAAACCAATTAAACAGCCTTATGAATATTACACAATCATGTGACCTCATTAATATTCAATAAGATTCTCAGAAACAGCCAATCAAATGACCTTATGAAAAATCAAATGGCCTCTTGAATAGCCAATCAAAATCAAAGAATCATTATGGGAATCAGTTTGTATCAACTTTTATCTACTAGAACATGCAATGAAAGGTAGATGATAAATCAAGCATAATTAAACAAATAACTGGTTTTTCTAACAAAATACAAAGAAATAAACTGATGTTTTTATTTCCTCCTAAGGAAATTGTTTTTTTTTCCGAGCACTGATAAACCAATCATTTTTTAAAGACAGTGAAACACCAAGTTGTGAATTCTTGCTTCTTGGTAGTTTTTACACACCAAATACCTTTCTTCTTTGGACTTCTGTGTCTTATTTTAATGTATATCTACAATAAAGTAAAGATTGTGACAGAATGTTGGAAACCCTGTTACAAAAATATACACCAAGTGCACCACCAAAACATTTCCCAAAAAACCCTGAATGATTGATCTTGAAAAGTAAGCACAAAGTCTGCAGGCACCCCTTGCCACCGGCACCCCTTGCCACCGAAGTAGTGATGCTGTCTACCTATGTCACAGTTGGTACCAGTCCAGCCGTTGATACAAGTACATATGTAACGGTTACCACCATCCACGCAAAACCCTCCATTTTCGCACGGGTTGCTGGCGCACTCATCAATTTCTACAAAATTTGAAATAAAAGAGCTATATTTTACAGTCTGTAAATATTACATAATTTGAGACAGTTATATGAAGTAAATATGTGTGATGCAGACAGCTTGCAATGATGCACTGTATAAGAGCAACATACTACTTACTCCCCCACGGAAGTAATACGTATTCACCCCCATTTGTCTGTATGTCTGTGTGTTAACTACAAAACTAACAATTGGATCATCATAAAATTTAGTGGAGGGGTACTTATTGGTCTAAATTAAAGGTGATCACAATTTTTGGGAAAAAGGTCAGAGTGAATATCAAGTTCATGGAAAAAGTCCGAAAAAAAAATTAATAAAGTTGTCAGGTGGGGGGTATGCATTCGTGTGCCCACTCTTTGTAGTTAACTATGTATTTTAAGACAACAAAAAAAAGTTATCTTTAATCGTATATGGAACTCATTTTGAAAAATACATCACAGCCATTTTATACGATCTGACTTAATATTTTGAGGATATGAATCTTGAAATAGTAGCACCATTAAAAGGTGGCCTACCTGTTTGACATAGCAGGCCCTCGTAGCCTGAGGGACAGGCACATTGGAACTGGTTTGGAAGATTCAAGCAAATACCGCCATTCATACAGGGTCCGCTGCTACACTCATTAACATCTATCAAGCAGAGGGAGGGAAGACATTAAATAGCAAAGTCAATAAGTAGGAAAGTATTAAAATAATTGAGGCTAAAAATAGAATGTCGATTTTTTATTCTTAATTAAGGAGTTATAGCTTAAAACTGTTATAAATCTAAAGAAATTATTATGTAATGATTGTTAGATCAGGGGCCAAACGTCGATTAGCGGAAGCTATTTTTTTACTCCTTTTCACCGATTTGTGAATAAATGTGAATTGAATTGAAAAACGGTAATTATCAAATGTAATTAAAGTGAATTACCATTGAGGCAGTTAGGGCCAGTGTAGCCATTGAAACAGGAACAAGAGTACCCATTGATCTCATCTTGGCATAGTCCACCATTGAAGCAGGGGTTACTGTTACATTCATTAATCTCTGTATAAACACAAAAAAAAACAATATTACGATTGTGCCACAATCATCATTATTTATTGTATATATAAAATTACTTGTAATATCAATTCTATGTGATAGTGTGGATATTATGCTGATACTGGTACTAGTATAGGCATTTAATGCGCCTTTTCCTTGCTGTTATAAATCCCAGTCCTTTTCCCTGGTCATTGGGTCCACATGCTAAGTGTTGCTGCTGGTAATCAGCGCAGGAGCAGGCAACCCCACCTGGGTGGAGAGAAGCAATGCAGATAAAGTGTCTTGCTCAAGGACACAAGCGAAATGCACAGCAAGGGATTGAAACCCCAACCTTGAGATTGGGAAACCAAACTGTCTCCATTGCACCAAAATGGCTTCCACTGATCAACTGGACCACATAGCTTTACCAGAATCCAACCTCCTATGTCTCTGATGATTTTGGAATGGGTCTGGTGTAAAGCACTTTCCCATGCTGCATTTACCAATACAAAAGTATGTTTACTGAGAGTACCAGCTCTCCTTGTACTCATAATCTGTTCATTTTGTTTTCATTGATGATTATTATTTTCCTGACAATTGCATAATTAATTCAAAACACTCAATTTTTTTATATAGTCTCTACAATTAGTCTAGAAATGTTCTGACTGTTTCCACTTCTAATATAATTTATACTGTTTAGAAGTTGGCACAGTAATATCAAAAATTTAGTGTTTTGATTCAATGTAAAAATGTATTTGTCAGGAAAATAATAATAAATGACAACAGCTGTTAATCGTTGATTGCTGTTCAATAAAAAAACATACAGGTGATTGCCTTTTTATCAGCAATGTTGTAATGTTATAATTTTTTTTCTTTATGTTGTCTGCACCATATATCTCTTGAACAAAGAATTTTTGAATATTTAATTAAATTGAAAAATTATCTAAAATAACTATAATAGTTTGCCCTTAAATTTGAGACAAGCTTTGGGGTGGTCTCATGGTTTGGTCCTCACTTAAAGGATTAGCTTAGTGTTAATAAAATTAAATATTGTTATTTGATTTTTTAAAAAGTCTTGAATTAGAGTAGTTTTGAATCAGTGGGGCCTCAGAATTAGAGAGGTCTCGGCATTATAGAGGTCTTGGGAATTAGAGGGGTCTCCAAATTGAGGGTTCACTGTATAAGCTGACATACCTGTATCACACTGAAAACCAATGAATCCTGCGGAGCAGACACATGTGTAACCATTGACATTGTCGCTGCAATTACCATTAACACACGGGTTGCTTACACATTCATTGATCTCTGTAAAAACAATAAGATTTTAAGTAGATATTGAAAGCATGTCTGTTACATACATCCAATAGATAAAAATGCAGGTTAAGCGGGGCACTCACAGATCCCTATGACCATCGCATTACAAATTGAATTCCGCTCCCTGTGAGACCTAAATGAGACGACACTGTATGCTGATTGTCGGTGGAAGTCTAAACGGGTCGTCATAAAAGACGATCCATTGCTCGCACCTTGTCGCGTTGTGTTCTTTATAGAATCACATTGGTCGACGACCGTTGTGCGCTGTGAGTGCCCGGTTTTACCACACAGGTTTGGAAAATTAGAATCCTATGAGAAAATATACAATGTTATTGAATATTTACAGTTGGAAAAATGTTATACTAGGGAAAAATATTATTGTATTATCTTATCCTACAGTATTTTGAAAGTCCGCTCATTTAGTTAATTCACGAAAGCTATAAGCCGGCCTACAAATGAAGCTCTGTATACACTATAAAATTCTGTGTGACAAATAAATGCGATATGCCCATATTTAGGTGTAATATGACATCATTATACCCATACATAGGCACATCACTCAAATTTATTTCATAAAATTTGATAGTGTGGACTGGACAGCGAGTTTAAGTCTATGACTCATATTCAGCATGTTCTTTCTTGGTGATCCAAAGACTTGACATGATATGATTATATTATGATCTATGATGCATGGGGGCGCCGCACTATTGGTGATCTAATGGTTAGGTGCCACCATTGTTCCTAGGCGAAGGGAGACAATATTTTGCCATGGAAAGCCAATCAGAAAGAAGATAGGTACCAATGGTAATGTTAGGTAATAACACCAAGGCATTCAAATATAATTACAACAGAAAAAAAAACCAAAAAAAAAACCTAATATTAAACAAAATTAATTCAAAGGTAAAAATGTAAAAAATAAATAAATAAATAAATAAAAATAAATAAATTAATTAATTAATTAACTAATTAATAAATTAATGACAAACACATACAAGAAAATCGAAGGCTGCCCTCACCTGTTCCACAACGCTCACCAATGTAGCCAGGTAAACATCCACACCTGAACATACTAACTTCATTAAAACAGATACCACCATTCTGACAAGGACCACTGAGGCACTCATCATCCTCTGTTACCATGGGAAAAAAAATGATTGACAATATTAGATAAATGTGTTGCCTGACAGAACTATGATTATGATAATGTGTTATTGATCGATTTTTATGATAAATGTTACATTGATAAATACTTCGGAGATTTCACAACCTTACAAAAAAAATAACAAACACGAATACATATTTATCATTATTATTTTGTCATTTGTGCTGAATATGATCGCTCATTCCTGAGAATAATAAAGATAGAAGACATTTGTTAATATGGGACCACAAAAAAGTGTCTTTAATTTGCACATGCCTACTATTGAAGGGGTAAACAATAGAACAGTATAAGCATTTTATAGCTTATTTATAATTTATTAAAGATTGGTCAGTGTTCTGCTAGTATATACCATAAAGTTCAATTACTGTTATTAACATTCAATAATGGTAATAACTAATGAAAAATTAGTGCACGGTTGTAGATAGAATAATAAAATTGGGAGTTATAACTGATGATGTCACAATTGACTTTATAATATTTATCATTGGTATCTATATTCTATTGCTTACAACATATTATTTATACATTATTGGTGTTTTCGATCAAGACCAGCCTAAAGCAAGTCCAGGAAGTCAAGTCGTCAAGTGAGTCATGAGTAATATTGGGTGTCCCTATATTAAATGATTATTTAATAAAGTATAATTAAGCCACCTCAGGCATTTAACTTTTCTAATTTGTATTTAAAACGTTTTTCTACAGTTAATATGTTTAAAGATGAAAAGAATGCTAAAATTTTAAAATGATTTGAATTATCAATCAATCAATCAATCGACTAAGTGGCTAGAATGTTGTTCTCAACAATTTGAAGTCAAACAGAATATAATGTAATTTACATTACTTTTTCAATGCAGCAAAGAAAAGCAAATTGTTTAAAATGAATAAAACACAGTGCACAAAAATATATATTGGGTCTGATTGATGATGTAACCATGACAACATCACAATGGCAACCAAAATCAGCACACAATTACGCACACACTGTATAGCAGAATTACTGTATGACAGAATAATATAAATATAAAGCAATCTATTTAATGAGATCTACATAAACAATAACTTACATATTGCAATATAACAAAAAGAGCTCCATTTCATAAATTATGTCGATTTGTATTGCATTGTATTTGTATGGTACTTTTAAGAAACAACCTGACTATTACTATTAAATATTTTGTAGAAATAGAGGCTATTTTTAGCAACCCACCCACAAAGGTTGTTGTATCTTCTTTGGGAAGCTATCTCAGTTTTATTTTTTCTTAATATGCTTTTGAGCACACTATTAAGATTTTGAAAATATAGTTTTTAGGTACAATATAATGAATTTAAATATACAGTATGGACTCAATAGCTTTTGGAGTATAATGAAGCACTGGTAAAGAGTGCTCATATTATAATTTTGAGATAGTGACAATTTGGTAAATGCGTTTCCAATTAATAATTATGGTTTAGGTTGGCCCCAATACAATATATGCTGCCTTTAGACCACAATACTAGGGATTAGCAATCACAATTAGGTTTGTTTGGATTAAAAAATTAATATTTACATATATATTGCTGGAGGCGGGAGGGGAGAGAATGGAGTACAGGGAAATTGTCACCACAGACATGCTAAGACAATATTTATAGCTTTAATCACAATAATGAACTATTATATATATGTGCAATACTGGGTGAAATTTTAAGTAGAATTATAGGTTAAAAGGTTAAAGGTTATTCCTTAGTTTTAGTTTTATTTAGGGAGGGGTTTTCCATATTATATTTTGAAAGATGGGTGTTGGAGGGGAACACACTTTGGTGACTACAGAAGATTTTTGACCTGTTTCCTCTCCTCAGATTCCCCCTACTATTATTTAATAGTATGGGTGACTATAAAAGAAAAATATCTTGTTATTGAACATTCCCACAAATACAATAACAAAATAATACTCTACTAAAGCCGTGTCCAGACTATAAAAGTATGTTTGACTAAAACATGTGACATGCCTATGTTCATGATGACATCACATCATGACCATATATAGGCACATCATGACCATATATAGGCACATCAAGACTATATATGGGCACATCATGACCATATGATATATAGGCACATCATGACCATATATAGTTCACTTTCCAATTTGAGAATCCTATAAATTCCAAGACCTCACTATTAATTTGAGACCACCTTTTTAAACTTCAATCAATGAAATAACTATCTACAGTGGAGACCAAACTCAGAGACTACACCAAATTTTCAGGTGCCAAATTTGGTCTTGAATTTGGGGGTCGGGGGTGAACTGTATAGGCACCTTATGACAACTGGGCATAAACGATAATTAAATAATCAGAAGAGGCCTAACGAAATATCATACACAAGTGTGTTTGTATTGAATATAAACACGGATAATACGGTGGATGTACAAATAGGCTGAATTTAAAGTTAATAAGATGTGTCTGTTACCACATCACCATATGTTAATTATCATGTTCAGCTTTCTTTTATTTATAACTATCACTTGAATATTTTTGAAGCTAAAGTTATTGATCTGATTACCTCAAGTACCCATAGCAACAAGAAAGCAATAAAAGTCTACATTATTAATTACTGGTAGGAGAATGGAAATTATGTTATTGAGTTAATTTCTAACAATGGAGATCAAAGGAAAGACAGAATGACAATATGAACATGGTGTGAATGACAAAATAACAATGCAAGAGATACAGCACTAGAATTACAAACTCGCAGAACAAAATGATAATTAAGAAATTCATAATAAAACAATAGAATGGTGAAGATCACATTCTACAACTGAAGTATCAGTAAGTAAGTCATAAACTAAACATCAAAACAAATTAAACATCATACTTACATTAACACAAGAGTCGGGTCCTCAAAACGACAAGAGTATATCCGTGGTAACGCTCAACAGAATTAAAAACTTAAAACAAGCTAACCTCAAGAAGCACAAGCGAAGTCAACGTTTCAACAAGTAACATTCAAAATTATATATAACAGATAAAAGGGAAAAGTTTGGTTCAACAAATACAGTAAACATCAAAAAAAATACATACACAATGAAAAGTTATGATGAAACTCATTTTATGATAAAGTACAAGCTTAAAATTATAATTTTAGATATATCATCCAAGACATTTAATATTTGTATATTAACAAGTGTTAAAATTTAACAAAATAAAACATATTAGATACTATAATATATTTGTTAGACCATTCAATCATGCTAGGACCCCGTGTAATTCTACATTTGTATATTAACCAATTAAAATATGACAAAATAAAACATATTAGATATTATAATATATATATTTTTTATATCATTAAATATTATGCTAGGACACTGTGTAAACGCTATAAACATTATGCCCATTATTAAATTATATTGACAAAAGCTTGTGACATGCCCAAATATGGTCATGACATCACATCACGACCATATATAGGCACATCATGACTATATATGGGCATACAACAGCTTTTTGTGGTGATGATGACATCACATCATGACCATATATAGGCACAACATGAATATATATGGGCATACAGTACAACAGTTTGTTTTTTTTCCAAAGAAAATCTGATAGTGTGGACTATCAAATTATATTTGACAAAAAAGTGGCATACCTAAATATGGCTATGATGACATGACATCATGACCATTTATAGGCACATCATGGCTATATGGGCATAAAAACAGTTTTTGGTAAAAAAATTAAAAAAAGCAATAGTTTGGACAGATCTTAATACTCCATATTACCTGGCATAACAGAAAAAAATATGTAACGCACAAAAGCATGAAGCTGACAACTTTGCGGGGATATAAATATTGATCGATGACAGGAATCTGACGCGATATTGTACGACAATCAATATAATCCGCCGTGTGGTATAATACACTAAAGTCATCTCACGCCTGAATTTTCAATAATGCATGTTTTCACTGGTAACGAAGCATAACATTTGGAACATTATCCTTTCCAAAAATAGTTGTAGATGGAGTGAAAAAAACAACGCACTATATCAGTGATCAACAAAAAAAAACATATTTAAATTATATTTAGTGGCTTAGAAAGAGTAAAACAATGACAATTATCATATATTCCAGTACTCTAATAATATACCAAAAAAAAAAACCACAGTGATAGAACTATATATTTTATACTATTAATAATTTAACAATGGGTCCATTGATTGGTTCTCTTACTTTACAAATGCTACTACTACTATTACTATTCATTAGCATTAAACCTTAAATTCCACTTTATACAACACCTGTATTATTCTATTAATTTGATTAGTTGAAAACAGGTCAAGAGAAATTGAATTAAAATGAATATTCCATACTTTACTTGAGTACTAGTCAACAATGGTTTATTGATATAATGGAGAGAGATACAGAGGAGTTGTTTAAAACAAATAATGAATGTTTCTCATTCGTTCAATGGGGGAGAATATTTCATGAGGTGAAAGATTGGATGTTCTATTCAACTCGACTAGGCTAGGCTAGGCTAGGCTTTCGAGTTTAATAGAACATCCAATCTTTCACCTCATGAAATATTCTACATTATTGCTCTCCTACGAATTCATTATTTGCATAATATAGCATGGCTGTAGGAACTAAAGAAATCACCAAAACACTTAAATATTGCATACTGTAACTATTTAAGGTATTAATTAAAATGTTGTAGAAAGAAATTGCAATAAAGATAACTTAATACAGTATTACAAATAGATTATTAATATACTTTGTATATAATACATCATAGTACAAAGTGCAACTAAACCTAATACCTATAGCACTTTACTGCCTTTTTAAAACAAAAACTAACACCTAATTCATTAAACACCATTAACAGATTCAACAATATATCTATTAACAATAACAACCATTAATATATTCTTAAAAAAACAATATTAATCTACTAAACATGATTCACATATCCTTCAAAAGACAATACATCTATTAAAACCAACATTAGCAGATTCTTACAAACAATAAATCTATCAAACCAACATTAACAGATTCTTGAAGAGATAATAAATTTATTACCCAATATATTAAACATGATTAAACAGATTCTTAAAAAGACAATACTGTACATTTATTAAACCAACATTAGCAGATTCTTACAAACAATAAATCTATCAAACCAACATTAACAGATTCTTGAAGAGATAATAAATTTATTACCCAATATATTAAACATGATTAAACGGATTCTTAAAAAGACAATACATTTATTAAACCAACATTAACAGATTCTTACAATTAAACAACAAATCTATTAACAATAGATTCTTAAAAAAGAAAATAAATGCATTAAACCAGCATTAGATTCTGAAATCGAGGGTGGTTTACCCAGTTATATTGACTATAAAACACTGCTTGGCTCAAACTATTTCTTCCTAAAAACACAAATGAAAGTCAATTAATAAAGAAATAATAAAGATAAAATTTAGCCTACCTTGCTCGCATAAAGTGCCTGACCATCCCTGTACACACGTGCAGTCAAAACGATTTGTTCCGTCAACACATGCACCGCCATTCTGACATGGATTGCTGGCACACTCGTTTGTATCTGAAATAAGGGGCAAAATAACGATAAATCTGCAAACATTGATTATTGTGTACCATGGCTTTCTTAGGCTACGCTTATATTGTTTGATAAGCATGGTTAGGCTATCTTATTCCAGGCATTACCCTTCCCTTCTCTTTAGGGTTCCTGGTTTGTTTTTTGCCAATTTTTTATTTTCCAATCTGACTTTGGAGTCTGTACACTGTCAGCGCCTTGAGATGATTCTATTGTAATCCTACTGTACCATTACCCTTAACCCAGGCTAGAACAACCCACCTACGTTTCACAGTTTGACTCATAACATGCGGGTGTTAGTGCCACAGGGTGTTTCACTGCAAAGTTCAATCAAAAGGCCTAGTGTATACAAGCTTACATGCTCTGAGCGTTTAAATATCTTTCAGTTAATGCTCAGTGTCTTCGCTGGGTCGAGCAATTAGTTTAATTTCCTGAACGCATTTGATTGGGCGTAAACCTAGTGTGATGACAAGTCTGAATGTAGCAGTGGAAATGTGTACCACGTATCATTATTACAGAAGCTTGAACAGTTCAGAAATCGCAATCGCAATTTATCAAAGAACTGAGTTCCATGAGAGCATCTGTGAATCATGTGCCGGCCAACCATTGCCTGTCAATGGTCTTAAATTGCAGGCGAACGATGCAGTGATGTTTGGGTATTCTGCTCAGTCTGTTTCTCTGCATCTGTAGTTTGGTTACAATAGGAGTTGCTTTTTGTTTTTGTTTTTCCAGCGCACTGAGACTTCGGTATAATGCGCTATACCAAATCCCACTAAATTACATTACAGCAGAAGACACACATTTTGATGTATCAGGTATATCAGAAACAAGAAACCACTATCAGAGTAAATCTGATTGTAAGGTACATGATAAAATTTTTGTCTTATTTTTGTCTTAGCCCTGTCCAGAACATCAAATTTGATTTGCTAAAAACATGTGACATGTCTAAATATAGTCATGATGACATCACAGCATGACCATATATAGGCACATCATGACTATATATGGGCATGCAACAGTCTGAACAGGGCTTCACAGACAAAACTTTATCACATATTATTCAGGTACGAAAACATAATTTTAACGCCTGGAGCGTAAATGTGCTGGCGCCAGGAGTCGACTGTTCTATTATTTTTCAAGGATGTTCTCTTGAGAGAGAGAATAGGCAATTAGTTGGTTTATCCAGGTAAGTATTCATTTAACTTACCTGTTGCACAGTTTGTTCCCTCCCAGCCTGGCTGGCAGTTGCATGAGTACATGTTAGCTCCATTAATACACACCGCATTGTTCAGACATGGAGACGATGCACACTCATCAATATCTACAGAAAAGAAATGAGATAAGAAGTTATCAATGATTTGATTTGATGACATTCACATTCCAAAAAGTCATTTTAATATTTAAACATTCAAACTGATATTTTTAAATGTTTAAAAATGGTTAAAAACAAACCATTCTTGTTAGTGATTTTTTTTAATGCACTTTGTTCACACTTGGAATCAGTTCACACTATTGTCTTCAGTTTAATGCACGAATTTCACATTAGTGTCTTGAATTGAAGATAATGCACCACATTCAAGCCAGTGTTTTTTACTTGTATTAATGTTACACATGTTCACACTTGGAACCAATCCCATTTGTGTCTTCACTTATACACCACATTCGCATTATTGTCTTGAAAATAATGCACCACATTCACAATAGTGTCTTTCACTTGTAATATTGCACCATGTTCACACCTGGAACTAGTTCACCCAAGTGTTGCACTTGCACCATATACATATTCCAGTCTTGCATTACGTTCACACCTGTGTCTTTCACATGTAATAATAAGCTGTGTTCACACTTGGAATCAATTCACAATAGTGTCTTTACTTTAAAGCACCATTTTCACATTAGTGTCTTGAAATTAATAAACCTCATCAGTATCTTAACATTTAGTTCAAACCTGTGTCTTAACAATATTACACCATGTTCACACAACGTGCCTGTAATTGCAAAATACACCACATTCACACTAATTGTAGAACTTTTAATCTGTGTCCACACCTATAAACATGCAATAAAGCTGCATTCACATTAATAAATATGTCTAAATTCCAATGTGTTGACACTAGCAAATTCAATTTAAGAACTAACCCTGTTCACATCTGGTTCCTTCCCAGCCTGCACTACATGTGCATGTGTACAAATTTTCAAGATTCTGACAGACAGCACCGTTGTAGCATGGATTACTTGTACACTCATCATAATCTGTGAAAAGCAAAAAAACATGTTGCCACATTTTGTAGCATGATATTTATCCCATGAAAGCATGTGGTACAACAGTTGCAGCGGTCCTAAGTCTCCCGGAAGTCGCAGGAGTCTTGCAGATGATGGAACGGCCACCTGCACTCCCAAAACCAGGCACAAATCTCCCGGAAATCCCCACAAATTCATAATATTTGCATGCTTTTACTAATTGTGACCCAAGCTCACAAATAGGCTGTAAACTCGCACAGCACTGTATTGAGAAACAAGCCTCAATAGCCAGAACATGCCATAAAATATGAATTTCGTGTGAATTGGGTTTTTGTGTAATAAATAAAGTATAATTATTAATCTTACTATTCCTGAAGTTTGAGTTTAACATTCAAACTGTAAAAGGCAAAATTTAGCCATTTTCAAATAGGAGTTAGTGAAAATGAATAGGAAATTGCCAAAAATAATAGACTTTTTTTCAAAACTTCATTTTGGCTTGAGGACGAGTTTACAGCCTGTTTGTGAGCTTGGGTCACAATTTATGATGAATTGTCTCACGGAAGACAGCAGTGATGTGTATTGCCATGCGCAGCAAAATAAAATATATTATAGAAGCTTCTTCAGTCAGATCTAACAGAAGGAAATGCATCACACTTGGGACACTGGCAATTGAAATGCTAACAGTACTCATGGGTACCTTTATATATATCACAATTAGATACATGTACTCCATCGCAGAACTACTTTGAAAGTGTCTTTTAAATTAGTTCCTTTCTCATACACAGTGGAGAGTCAACTTACCTACATCGCATCGATTGCCCTGCCATCCGCCGTCACATGTGCAGCTAAAGAAATTCAGGTTGTTGTTACACACGCCATTCACACATGGGTTGCTCGCACATTCATTAATATCTAGACACAAGCGGTAAAGGTTAAAGGTCAAACAATGTTTTGAAATATAAATTTGATGTTATAATGTTATATACCTGCCAACTTTGTTGGCTTCTGATGTGTGAGACAAAAATATTACTAAATTTGTATAGTCTTCGGTTGGTAAAGCTTTTAAAAGAAATTTATAAGGCCTGTATTTACATTTTACTGATGAATTCACTTCATATTTATGAATTTTAGGGTATAATCAGCCTATACATTCTATCACATTAAAAAATTGTTATGATGCGTGAAACGTAAAAAGTGGATTCTCATGCGTGAGACTCATGCATTATGCATGTGAGGTGGTAGCCTGTGTAATGTTCATTATAACTTGCATAAATTATTACAAATTCATTATCATTCATGTTATTCTTACCAATTTCACAGTTAGCACCAGTCCAACCTGCAGTACAGTCGCATTCGTACCTGTTAACGTTGTCGATACAAACAGCTAAATTCTGACATGGGTTACTCAAACACTCATTGATGTCTGTAAATAAAAATGTATAATTTTAGAATGAAATCTACGCTATCATAATTGTTATATTGTTTGTAAATATTAGTTTTAAAGTATTAGACAATTATGTAATAAAATTATCCAGTTAACTATTCATGAAATAGACAGAGTATGTAATAAAATTATGTTTAAAATGTTATCTACAATGTCTGTCAGTAAATACATATTAATTCAATCATCCAATTCTTAGTTCTATTCAACCAGCAAAAAGTTCATACAATGGTGAAAACTCAATACTTTAAGCCGGCTTTACACTAAAAGAATTTATTTGCGTAAATTAAAATCATAGGTTCATGCGTAGGCGCATTCACATTTCTATTGGTGTTTTTCACTTCAGCTTCCTGAGCTCTGATTGGTCGAGCATTTTTTTTACTTTGCAAAGGGTAAAAATGTGCGACCAATCAGAGCTCAGGAAGCAAACCGACCCTTTTGATTCGCGTGAATAAATTCGCCTAGTGTAAGACCGGCTTCAGAACATGGTGATCAAAAACATAAATTGCTTCCTACTATTTTCACAGTTGATTCCGTTATAACCTGGCAGGCAGGTACAATCATAGCGATTAACTCCATTGGCGCACGGCGCGCCATTTTGACATGGGATACTGGAGCACTCATTGTAATCTGTAAGACGGAAAAATTATAAAACAAACAATGTTTATTATGAAGTTGCTTCAATATCATCTTCATTTTCATCATAAGCATATGGTGAGGCAGTATCAATTACGATTTCCAGCCAAATATCTTGAGTTTGAGAATGAATTCAGTAACACACACACCTCTGAGTTAATAAAATACATTTCAAATGATAGATAGTTATTTGATCTGGATATTAGACCTCTTTATTAAGGCCTAAGACAAATTTCTGTAGTATTTTTGTATATTTCCGTATGTCCGTAATTAAGTAAAATTTCAGTAGCAACTACGGAAATTCCGTAGTACTTGCGAAGTCTGGGCCTGCAATCAAGATGATTCCCAAGTCTGTGAAGTGGTACAATTTAGTGTTTGTATGCATCTTGTTTAATAAAGACAAAAAAAGTACCAAGAAAACCATAGTTAGTACTCCTAGGCCTTGTTTCTCTTACATTTAAGTCAAATTTTCACACAATTTTCCTAATTAATACAACGTTCATGAGACTGAAAATAAATATCTTGAAAAATGTTCCCTGAAAATTAAAAAAAAAACGCATTTCTGTATACCTATAAAAGAAATTTATTCTGGGAGGGATTAGTGAGTTCTGTAAGATTTTATACTCATCCCCCTATCCATCTATCTATATTTGTCATTATCAAAAATTTCCAGGAGTGGTGCCAGCTTTTACCCGATTGGCAGCCCATCAGTATCGACAGATGGGCCAGAGTCCACACCTACCTCAGCACCCCCTAATCTTTCATTCCTCCACTGGTACTACCCCTGCAACTGTGGACATACAAGACCGTGAGATATCCGGAGCTAAGTATTTACGTTTTGGAAAAAATATAGTATTTTTGTGTGAATACTTTTTAAGCAAACTTACCAACATTACATACATCCCCAGTCCAGCCACCCACGCAAGAGCATGTGTACTGGTTAATGCTGTCGGTACATGCACCGTTATTTTGACATGGCTGGCTTTGACACTCGTCAATATCTGCGAATAAATGTTACCATATAAAACAAATTACCGAATGACATCATATGACGAATGACATTTTTATAAAATATATGTTGGCCTATATACTAAATTTGCCTTGAATTTAGTACCGTAAAATATTAACATAAAAACATTTTGTTTATACTATATAGCCGTATCAATGAATTTTTGAGCTGTTTAATTTCAGTGACATTTTCCTAATATAATTAATTGTGCATAATTGTTTTTATTATTGTTGATAAATTTAATTTAATAAATAAATGTTTTTGTTTTGGTTTCTGGTTTAAACTTGTAAATTTAATCTTGTTCTTGTTTTTGAGAATTTGTTGTTACTCTTCAATTTTGTTCACGAAATTGCAAATAAAGAACATTTAAATTTAAATTCGAAGATATTTTCAGTGTTTTTATATAAAAAACAATAATAAAAAAAACAAACAAAAATAAAAAATAAATGTCTTTTTAAACACATTATTCTACCATCATAAATTGAACTTACTTGTCTCACAAAGCCTTCCGGTGTATCCCGCAAGGCAAGTACAAGTAAACATGTTCTGCAGATTGTTACAGGTTGCACCATTTAAACACGGACTGCTACTGCACTCATTAATATCTGAAATAGAATAATTTAACATTAGCATGTAATAATTTACTTGCAAAGCTATTAATATGCAGCAGCTCAGTCGGCTAAACTGGCGGTAGCTGAACCGCCATAATCTCTTGCCTCTTGGTCCCCGGTTCAATTCCAATCGCTGCTCTCCTTGGATTTCAACTAGAGGGCTGAAATGCAAGTTACGATAGCGCACCTTCTTTCAGATGGGACGATTTAGCTGTTGGTCCCGTGGGCAATAGGGCTTATGTGCACGTTAAAGAAAACAGTACACTCTGGAAATAATTCTCAGGACTTTCGAGGGTTATCCTTGGTAAATCACACCGAAGAAATCCAATCCAACGTGATAGTCCATTATCACTACAGTACGACTTACCTATGTTGCAGTTTATTCCGGTCCAGCCAGGAGTACAGGTGCAGCTATACATAGCAAGCCCATCCACACAGCCAGCTCCATTTTGACAAGGATTTGACGAACATTCATTTATATCTGGAAAAAAGTGCAAGAAAATAGCCATATCTCTATGAATTTTTTTTTTGGGGGGGGGGGAGGAGAAATTACCAATTAATGGCTATAGATTTTTTTTTCTATTTTTCTTCTTTCGGCAGTACAAACATTAGACTAACCATTCAAAATGAAAGAGAAGGAAACAAAAGTGATTAAAAACTACTTTTGTCAAAGGGCGTGCCTCTCTAACTTCACACATAATACAAACACATTGATAACTTAAACCTAAAATTGGACCTAACAAATATTTTACTTTACCAATCAATGTTTCCCTAATATTGAAACTTGACCATTTGACTGAGCAATATGTTCAAATTGGTTTTGAATAAAAAGTCACCCCACCCCTTGATATTAATGGTCAATAAATTAATTGTATTGAAAATAATGAATAATTTAATCAACTTTTTTTATAATCCAATATGATTTTGTATCTATTTTTAATGTTATTGTATGTATTAGTTTAATTAAATAATAATTCAATAATTGTCTGTCTTGTAATTATATATACTATTTATGTATCGTTTTAACAGGCAATTTCCCACATCTCTTTTCTGTTCGATGTGACGTTGATTTGTTGAAGGTGGGATGTAGAGGTGCTTGGCACCTGTCAATTTCTTTATTTTTGCTGCTTTTTCTATATTGCTATTTTGTAACTTATGCTTCTTGTATGTTCAGTGATGAAGCTTAATTTTTTTTTTTAAGTGTGGACATATAAAGGATTAAATATTTTGTGCATAATACATACTTGTTTCACAATTGTCGCCTTCATAGCCAGGGGCACACTGACAGGAATAAGAAAATTCAGCATCATTACAGATGGCGCCATTCAAGCAGGGAGCATCCAAGCAATCATCAAGATCTAAGAAAGAGAAAAAGGATTTTTTTTCTTCTTCACAAAATTATTTCTTTTTTGCATACAGTAATACAGACATTACAGTGATCAGAAAAAGTAAACATAATGAAATATCCCTAAAAATTAATAGACATTACAATACAATTACAAAACAATTATTCTAAAGGAAAAAAAAAATTTATAAAAATTTGAAAAAAATAAAAATAAACTATGCCAGTGAGATTCCACTGTAATAAGATATTACAAAAAAAGTTATTGCATAAAATGAAATGCGATTCATTTACAATACAATAAAATTAAAACTTTTAAATTGACATTTCTAGTGATTATATTTTATATTAAAATAGACATTCTCATCAAAACAGCTCTTTCCAGAACTATCCTTGTGGTGTACCTCAAATACAAGTACTTACAACAATTTAAATAATTTAAATATTTTTTTTTAAATAAATTCTTTAATAAATTGGAGAATATTTTGTATAGCGCCTGTTAGAAAAAAAAATATCTATTCATAACACTGTAAAAAAAATAAGATAAGTCCAAAATCAAGCGTATTCATTTATTGAATTTTAACAAAGTCTTTGATGTACAGCAGGTACCATATTTTCATTAGTTCACAAAATGGAACGCGCCCAGATCCCTGGGCTGGCTGTGAGCTCGGTCAGTTTTTTTCTTCTTGAAAGCCTTTAAAAGAGTGCAAAAATATAACGGAAGAAGGTTTTATCCAATGAGATTATTTCTGTTGCCACTTCAAACTAAGCAAATGGATTGGTAGAGGCAAAGTTATGACGTTGTAAATACCGTAAACGACTCCTCTCAAACCGGCTCAAATCCCGCTGAAAAACAATCTAATATCACTTATATTCTTGTAATTCAACCCAAAAATGTTGGAGCTAAATATTTGAAAGCAAATATTTTGTAAATTGTTTACAATACCTATACATACTTATAACTTTCTATAAACAATTCAACCTAAAGTTATCCAACCTCTAGTTTTTGAGTTACTGTTTTTGCAGTAAAATCAGTCAATGTTTTTTGGGAAAATGGTAATGGTTAAGAGATAGCGTGATTTTCACAGCGGTGCGTTTGCAGTTAAGTGGATCAAACAAATTGATATGATATTCATACAACAATAATTTTTGCTGAAGTTCAGCTTTTGAATAAATTGCACCATTAATCAAATTAAACATTTCTCATACTCTACATACTACAGGTAGCTTGCTTCAAAAAGAAAAGGAGGTCTATACTTCACTAATCATGGGGGAACAATAGAAAAAGAACAAATAATTTCCAATTAAAACATTTTAACTGTGTGCAACTTGAATTTTATCCAAGTTTCAATATGTTAATTTAAAAATTATAATGAATTTTCATATTTTCAAATTGTTACATTTTTTAGTATCCAGTGGAATTTTCTTATACTTTTTTTTAATGAACAGTGTATTATTTTTAATTATATTTTAATAAAGAGTGTATGATAAACAATAACAATTAAAAATAAATGATAATTTTATTTCAGGATTCACAATGAAGGTTTGTCAATAAGCCAGGCTACTTATACTGGGTGGTACCTAGTTCATTGATGTTAATATTGATTTTTAACCAGTGATGACACAGCTAGCAACAATAACAGGTGGATCCACAAGTGCTATTGCTTTTGTCATTAGCTAATTACTAATTTATCATAAAAATGAGTTTATATTCCTCCATGGTTACACTGCAGTTGGCGGATTCAAGAAGGCTGGGGGGAAGCTTCCCCCCTGCAATTCTTTCAACATTGAAAAAAATTGAGGAAAAAAAAGAAAATTATATTCAAATATTTGTTTAAGAGTGCCATTTTCAGCAAACTAGAGGTACTGCAATCATAAATTTCTTACTGTACCTCTTCCCAAACCATTTGGGCCTGAGGTGGTATAGACCCTCCATTTGTGAAGGTACCTCCCAGGGCCCCCTCTATTTACAATTACTGGATCCGCCACTGTACTGAGTTTGTCATCAGCTATATACTCTTTGTTGTATTAAATAATAACAGTTTGTTGTATCATGAAGGAATACAGCTTTATTTATAATATAAATTGGTTTTATCATGGAGTTATTTCTTTCATGGTTTCTATTATCTAATTTCCCCATCATGAATTATTAAAAATGTGTTGAAATCGTTGATTAAAAAAAAAAATTACATCCAAAATTAAATAAACTACTGTAGTTCTTGTGTCCACATATGTGGG